TTTTTATTACTAAAGCATGTCAGTTGTGTTCAATAGCCAACGTTTCGGAACAATGCAGGGTTCCTTCATCAGGGCAGACATAGTGACCCAAGGTCACATTACAGGCCAGCACCGTGTCTTGATCATGGTGGGCCTGGTATGGTCTCCAAGGCAATGGCAAGGATCAACGGATATGTAAAACTGCAAAATGAGCTCTCACGGCCCTGCAGCTAACGGAGAATCTTGATTGAAGAAAAATATCTTGATAAAATCAAAGGAATGTTTAACGAGAACTATGGGGTGCACCTTTTTTTGCCATTTTTAGTTTCCTTATGATACAGGTGATTTTGCAATGTATTCCTGTAATAAAGAACCCACAATAAGCTTACAATTCAACAGAATATACTGTGGGCAGGGCTAAGCTCCGTGCTGAGAAGAGACCCCGACTATATTGTCAGGACCCTCCCCACTCTTCTCTCCTCCCATTGAGTGTCAGCACCTTGTAGGATCTGCTGCACATCCATGAATACCCGAGCAGGTGGGGCAGATCCATCCGCGCCTCCCCTCCACGCTGTTGTCTCGATCTCTTCTTCTCCCTGGCTCATATAAATAACATCCTTCCCCACATTAGCCCCGCCCACAGCATATTCTGTTAAATTGAAAGCTTTTGGTGGATTTTTGATTACAAAATGTTCACCTGTATCATTAGGAAACTAAACATGGCAAAAAAACGTGTACCCCATAGGTCTCATTTAAGTCAAATGGGTTTGGGAAAAGAAAAGACGTCCGTTCTCCAAAGGACACCAGCAAAACACTGAAGCATGATGGGAGTGGGAAGGGTCAGATCATTGCCGATTAACAGCTTTTATGTGCCAGAGTCCAATTCTCCTGTATGCAGAATTATAACTGATAACGGATACTTCTCAGAACCCTTCTATGCACCGTAATAAAAGATTAAACAATTGTATTATACTATGGAAAGTCTTCTTTTACTTTGAGCCTGAACTGATACATATATGTATGGGATGGGAAGCTGTTGCTGGTATAATACATCCAACAACAGTGGGAATAGGAGTTTCCTAAACACAAATTTACCGATCTATTTTGTGGAGGTCAAACACTCTGGTGAGGGCAGCTCCTTTTGGTGGTGGGTGTTTACAAAGCTTTTGGAACCATAACACATCAGTGTTTCTGTATAAATAATTTTTGGTCACATAGTAGATGTCAGCTGTTTATTTGCACATATTGGACACAAATTTATGGATTCACGTATATATTTTGAATGTTTTTTATTTTGTCACTATGTGCTGCCTATATGGAATGCTATTGTGTGCCATATTATTATTATACAGGATTCATATAGCGCCAACAGTTTGCGCAGCGCTTTACAATATAAGGAAGACATTACAATCTCAATACAATTCAAGACAAGACAATTCAAGACAAGATGTGCCATATAATATTATATTCATCTTTTTGGTACGCTGCTTAGATATTGTGGAGTGTGTTGTGTTGACATTTGGGGATGTGCATTTCATACCTCAGTGAGATATCATGGTGCTTGTCACATTATAATTTTTTTAACAGAGAACTATGGCCCGACCTTGTTTGGTCTTAGTTCTCTTTATGTTACTATGTCCTCCTGTGACCAAAAACTCAGCATATAAAAAGGGCTATTGCCCACTATATGCTGACAGAGCAGTGCTGCGGCAGGATCCCCCCCGCTGGCTTGATAGCTGGTTCTGCCTCTCTAGAACAAGAAACAGCTGTGCCCACCCCTCTCCTGTCCGTCCCTCCAGTCAGCAATGTAGGAATGGAGAGAAGAGGGGAGCAATCCTACAGGGAGTGGAAACTGACAGCCACCATTCTCTACAGGGACAGTGAGCGAATCAGCTCAATAGTGCCGACGTGTGACAGCTTCAGTGTTACACCTCGGCTCTTATTATGGGGATGAGTGTGTTTCTTTAATTCTTCTTTAATTCTCAGGTAAATGTTGACATGGACATTCCGATGGTCACATTGTTTGTACTAAACATCTTTGCTAGATACTGTATGTTATAGGATTGCAATCTCTGTGCATGTGTACATCTTCTTGCTCATGCGAGGTGGCAATACAAGCTTACCATAGGAATTTCCCCAGCTCTTCCTTTAGTAAATCAGGTCTTCCTGTGTTGGTGACAGTAACAGCAAACTTATTTCTTCACTCTCTAGTTCCTCAGTAGTTCAGGTGAAAAGGATGACATACTCCAAACAACAAAATACTGATAATGAGATTTGAGTTATATTTAAAATCGTGCTAGAAATAAAACATTTGACAAAAAAAAAAAAGAAGTACACATAGACACCTCCAAGGGACAAGGCACTCTGTTTTAGTAATAATTTATTGTTCTTAAAAAAATATTATAACCAACAATGTACAATATATAATAATAACAGTATGTGCAATGTAATCACTGGCAGTGTGTTTGTCCTTCATCACATGACACAGCTGAATGTAATCATTGCAGTCTCTTTTTAGTAACTAGGACAATACATTTCTCTGTGTGTGTGTTATTTAACATGTAATTAGAGGGTATGTTCACTCTAATCTGATAATCTGGGTGGATGGGAATTGGTGGAATCACACAACATGAAGTGCAGTGAGGAGAGATCTATGTCCCTGAGTTCCCAACTTTCCCCACCATGTCACAGGTAAAAGGAAATATAATTCCCAATTTGTATTTTACAATGCTAAGGATACTATTAGTATCTAATGGGAGGAGGGACAGAGCCAATGGAATCTCTGAGAACATCCAGTTTGAGATTCAGCAGCATCCACCCAGAACGGACATTAGCTTTGACTAAATGTTGCATTCTGTACAATGATATATTATTTTATAGTTCAGGAATACTGTATGCAGATGTAACACAAAGTCCTCATTCACAGAGGCAATTACATACATTCATTTATAGGACATTTCTAAATGTAAATAAAAACATATAATGTGTTAAATAGTAACAGTCACAACATGCGTTTAATTGAGTTTAGAGAATAGTATTCTGTGCGTCCGGGGGCAGATACGATACTCTGAGTGCTTCTAAATATTTTGTATGCTTCCAGATCAGTTCTTCTGCACTTAAAGTGTATTTCCACTTTTGCAGCCAAATTGGGATAAACCCTATTTTATATTAGTTACATGATCCCATTTACATGCCATAAGCTAAAACAAAAATGCTTCTTGCACTTTAAATTGCTTTTAATTGGGTTAGGTTTTTAAGGGTTAAAATTCCTTCTTGCTTCTATTTCTTTGAAATGTTAGGATTGGCTGTGAAAGGTCTCATCCATTGAGAGGTGGCTTGTCCATTGTATGTTAATAAAGCTTGTCAGATAAACACAATCCTCAAATTTCAGTCCCAAGATTTTCCATTGGGACAGACCACTGTGAAAGGGATCAGAAAAACCTGGAATCAGCCATATTGCCTGATTTAAAAAAAAAAAACATCTAAAAAGGTAAGACATTTTTTTAAAAAGGTAATTTTTAGTATGCTCTGTGAACAGGAACAACAAACATATAGAGGGGTTTTCCTAAATGTGACTGCAAAAGTGGAAATACACTTTAAATAAAATAAAAGCAGGAGCCCGGCGTGAATGTGGCCCAAATGGACTTCTGCAGAATAAATGGCATCACATTGGGTTTTGCATTAAAATATTAGAAATATTTCTGTAGAAAATGACTGGAAAAATACAGAATTGCATCACTGACCCGCTGACTACTGACTATCCAGCTATCTTTAAAGCCACGTTCACATTGAGTGATTTATCGCGCGGTAATTCCCGCGATATCGCTCTCCAATGCTTGGCAATGGGGCAAAGGGTCCTGCTGTCGCGGGTCGTGTGTCGCTACAGCAGGACCCTTTTTGGAGTGGATTTTGCAGCGATTCAATGCTTTCAAATGCCAGCAATTGCGCGATATCGCGCAAAATGCAAATCGCGCGACAAACACGTGATTTGCGAATCGCACAGTGTGAATGGGGCCTAAGACTGCACTGCAGGATTAAAAACCCGGAGAGAGAGAGAAAAACAAACAATGGTTTTCGAAAGGAGCCCAGCCTAGTTACATAGTTACATAGTATTTGAGGTTGAATAAAGACATTAGTCCATCAAGTCCAACCTATTAGGATCTCATTCTAGGAGTACCCGTACCCCTGTATATTACCCGTACCCCTGTATATTACCCGTACCCCTGTATATTACCCGTACCCCTGTATATTACGGTCCCTTAAGAAATCGTCCAAAAGTTTCTTGAACAATTCCACAATAGTGAATCAGGTGAACCCGCGCTGACTAATCATGTTGGGGCAAATGCTGCATGTTTGATTATCTTCGAAAATGATTGGGTGAATTTTCACTTTCACTAAGATGAGTGAACATTCAGTTCACAAAGTAGGCATGCTCTACTCCTTTAGTAAATCAAACAAGTTGGCTGCTTAGTACCACTTCACACCAATCTACGTTTATCACTTGTATATAAAGGCATTCCTTTTCCCAAAACAACATAAAACACACATTTCCTGTCTTCATCATCAGAAACCCTCCCTTATTTCCATCCCTTAGTTCTAGTTTACCGAGTTCCCGATATATTGCAACATTTCCTCTTGTATAAAGGATAACTCTGGGCAGAATAAAGCGTAACCCTTGCAGTGGCGCTACCACCGCACTGCAGGGGTTAATTGCTCTTTTCCGTCTAGGGTGTAAAATAACAAAGAAATACTCACCCGAACCTCGGTTCTGCCTGGCTGCTACACCAATACCTGCAACCTCTCTCCCCCTTCACTCCAGCGGTGGTATGCCCCTCAGCATCCTCACGTCTGGAGAGGCAGAACCAGCTGTCATTCAGGTAGCAGGGTGCATCTTGACAATTTTGGCTGCAGCGCGGCTCTGTGCTGTCATCATATAGAGTTTTGGGTCACAGGAAGACATTAGTAAATGACTCTAAAGGGAACTATCGCCAAAAAAGTTTAAGTTTATGCTATTCCAATAGGCTGAATCTGCATAGAGAAAAGTTGTATCTTCTCTTCCTGTGATGTCCTCACATAATACACCTCCGGGGTACGCTCAGGCTTTCGGGTTGTTAGGGGAGTTCGCGTTGTTGGAGGAGTCAGAATTGGTATCTGAAGCTGTAAAATAAAGTGAAGCAATTTATTCTGTATGGAGATGATGGTAAAATGATGATTATCATACAATGATTCCACTATATAAAGTACAGAGAACATCCTCCTAACACTCTCTGTTCTTCCCACTATAGAGGAGTCTGTACAGAGCCAACAATGGGGATCAGATATTTCTATTTGTATCATCAGGTGGACAATGATAAGAAGGTTCCTTGTATTATAGAGTCATATTATCTGCCGGACTTCTCATCTCCTCACACATTCCACACACACCGCACACTATAATAACACAGAGAACAGGTCATGGGGGGATACTTACTACTGGTGGTCTTGTAGCCGCCTCCCCGCTCTGTAATAAATACAATATTGTGTTAGAAACAGGAAAATAGCAAACAAAATCTACTCACAATCTGAAGATTAAAACTTGCAGAATGCTCAGATGGTAAAAGGTCACATACATGGGTCATACATGGGATATTTACCACATCATGAAATGTATTGTTTTTTAAATGCAAGCTGTGTAAGTACTTGAATTTGACCTGGTATCAGCCTTTTGCAGTCACTACACAGCAGAGGTCAGAGTGGGAAGGGAGAAGCAGCACAATGAGCCAATCAGTTGTGCCGCAATACAAGGAGCATGCTGATAGAAGGACAGAGCAGAAGGACACTGGATAATCTCATCAGTTGTTTGCTTTTCTTTCACTGTCCAGTCACCGGCTGAGGGTGGGGATGAGACCTTTAAGTGTTACTGAACTACAGCAGAGAAAAACAGGTCTCCTGTCCTGCCAGACAGGGTTGTGTGGCAGAGCAGTGTAAATCATAACTGGATGGACAGAAATACAAAACCTTTGACAGGTAAAACAGTCCCCTTATATACTGTATATTGCGTCCGTGTATTTAGCTGTTTGCCTGGAGTTCAGGTTTAAATATAAATAAATAATAAATTTAAATATAAATAATAATATATGTACACAATTCATAATTAATTAGTTCAAATGTGTTTTTTTTATTAATTGAAGAATCTATCTCTAGTTTTTGTTAAGGACAAAGACACAAAGGAGAGAGGCAAAACAAACCCCTCCACACAGGAGGAAAGAAAATCCTTCCTGACCCCCCAAAGGCAGTCTGATAATTTCCTGGATCAAAATATTCCTCTCTTAGCACTTAAAAATTAGATCTCTGGATATAAGCTACAAGGGAGTTATCCAATCCTTCTTGTTAATAGACCCTGACAGCCACCTAAAAAGATGTCAAAAGGCCACTTCCTGGCAAGAGAAGAGGTAGTAGTATGCTAACCTCCCCGACAGCCTGTCACCTACCTCCTCTCTATTCCAGCACCACAGCCTCCCTCAGTCTCAGTGTCATTGGAGTTCTCTCGTCGTGTTGGATTCCTGTGTCCCCCGTTGTGAGCGGTTCAATCCGCCGACCCCTTCATCATTAGAAAGGTATCATGGCACACTCACAAGCCAGCATGTAAAACAACATGTCTCACCACTGAGGTTAATAACAGAGGTTTGGATACACGTCTTCTGCAGAAAATGTTAACGTCTCACAGCCGCGCCAAGGCACCTCTTATAGTGCGGTCCTAACTCTAAACTATGAGAGTCTCCATCTTGGAGCACATGGGGGCAGAAGATTTCAAATTGGGTGCAGGCCTGTCAGGAGGAAGCCCAACCTCCTTAAAGGCACAGGAACACACAAGGGATCCCGCACATCCCAATGGCAGCTGAGACCCCTCATGCATCACTGCACCAAAATCAGCTCCAAGAGGGAGACTCTCATAGTTAGGACCGCACTATAAGAGGTGCCTTGGCGCGGCTGTGAGACGTTAACATTTTCTGCAGAAGACGTGTATCCAAACCTCTGTTATTAACCTTAGCAGTGAGACAAGTTTTTTTACATGCTGACTTGTGAGTGTGCCATGATACCTTTCTACTGTTTTACTGTTTAAAGCCCATTTCGTGTGCACCTTGCTGTATAGTTGGTGACAAATTGTTGAGTGCGTTTGTCATTTGTTTTGCTTGACCCCTTCATCATCACTGCTGTGTCTAATAATGATGTGAGGGACTGAACCATAGTGCGTGGTAGGGGTCATAGGCATTCATCACCCCTGGAAGAGTTGAACACTGATTTGTGGGAGGCTGCAGTGCTGGAATGGAGGGAAGGTATGAGACGCATGGTTTCGGGGAGGGGAGTATACTGAACTATCTCTTCTCCACCAGCAATTTTGTAAGCAATGGTCACTTTAGATTCTATTGGTTAATTGCTTTTGATATCAGTAGCTCTTGTAGTAAAGTATTCCACAACCTGACCACATGCACTGTAAACTGATGGAAAAATCTTCTTCCCTTCATCTGGAACCGTCCCTTGTACAGACCTCAGGGTAAAAAACTAATTTGCCAGATTTTTCTGTGGCCTCCATCAATTTGAACAAGTTAAAACTGAAAATCTAGGAAAGCATAATGCTGACTGTTCGCATAATGTAGCCTCTCCTTAAAGTGATATTATATTTTAAGCTATTTCAAATGCTGATGAAATCACTTACAATGGACGTTGCTCCTTGATGTTTTAACGTTTTAGTTCCCCATAGAATCAGCTGGTCCCCTGAACACTAGTCCTGATATCCTGTTTTATGGTGGCTCCTTTCCTGTGTGTGCTTGTGAGGAACTAGGAGCGCAGAGAGAGAATACACAGAGGCAAATCACACGGAACCCGGCGTGCGGGGTGTTTATTGGGGAATTCAGGTATACAAAGCACGGTAAAAAAGGCCGGGGTTAACTTAGCGTGGCACTATTGTGGGTAAACCTGTCAAACGGGACAGTAGATGCGTAACTGGTGTAGTGAATGTATATACAGCTACTCCCCATATCTCTCTTTATGTATTGTTATGCAGGCAGTGAGTTATGTATTGCCTTGTGGTAGAGGCTGGATGTGTCCTATCCCTCTCCTCCCCTTTTCTTCTCCCTTTTAGTTTGTTACCCCTTCCCTTTTTCCCTGTTTATATATACTCTGTACACGATTTTGTATTTTTATATTTGTCGCATACGGTTTACTGTATGCGTCGGTACCTGTACAATAAAAACTATCTGATTTAAAAAAAAAAAAAGCCGGGGTTAGGTCCTGGGGGGTTGCATGTCGCTGGGAGGGTCAAACCAGAAAGTAGGCAACTGGCACAGGGAGGAATAAGTCCAGAGTCACAATGCTAGTAGTCCAGGGGTCAGAGGTGCAGCAAGGGGTAATCCAACAGGTAACCGGGCACAGTATGAGTACATCCAGTAAGGGTAGAACAACAGATCCCAGCAGTAGACAGGGAGGAACAACAGATCCCGACAGGGGGAAGAACAGATCCCAGCAGCCCTCAGCAGTAGACGACAGGGGGAACAACAGATCCCAGCAGACCTTAGCAGTAGACGACAGGGGGAACAACAGATCCCAGCTGACCTCAGCAGTAGACGACAGGGGGAACAACAGATCCCAGCAGCCCTCAGCAGTAGACGACAGGGGGAACAACAGATCCCAGCTGACCTATGCAGTAGACAGGGAGGAACAACAGATCCCAGCAGACCTTAGCAGTAGACAGGGAGGAACAACAGATCCCAGCAGACCTTAGCAGTAGGCAGGGGGAAGAACAGATCCCAGCAGACCTCACAGCAGCAGTGGAGCAGAACAGGCAGGGTAAAGTCCGTATTCCTTTGAATCCGCAGACAGAGACCGGCCTCAGTCAGCACAGCTTCTAGTCCGCCAGTCAGAGAGAATAAGCAACATGCAGCCTTCCCACCAAAACTTACCAAGGTCGCGGGAGGAGGCGGCATGAGAGGGGAGGGGAAGGAAGGGGAGTACAAAGGCTGTTGCTGAGCAACTAACCTCATTCCCCCATGTTTCCTTTGTTCTGGGGAGGCTAAAATGGAGGGAAACAGCAGACGTGTACTGCAGGGATCTCAAGTCTCCCTGATGTTCAGGGAGTCTCCCTCTTTTGGACAGCGGCTCCCGGACGTCCGCGAGAGAGGCATTTTCTCCCTGAAAGGTTTACTCTGAGTAAACCTTTCCGGTAAGCTATCAGTGGGTAAAGTTTCAGAGTGAGGCTTGCCTCCTGGAGGAAGGTCATGTGATCGCTAGAGTAGCCTCAGAACGAGGCTTGGCTCTCAGAAGGAAGAAGCTACTTGCTGCACAGAGAGGGCGGACACATAGACTATTATTGAGAGCAGGTACAGGCACTGCTGCAGGGTTGAGAGAGTGCTGTTAACCCTTTGTGGATAATATAGAACCAATTATATGTCCTGGTTGTCTAGTTATAGAGAACATTTATTTCATTTGCTGCCCATAGCAACTAGTCAACTGTGTATCAGGGACTTTACTCCTCAGCGTTTTTTAGAAAAGGTCTCAGGCTGTCTAATAAATTGTGACCTTTACACTGACAGATACTTGAACATCAATTCACAAATCTGATGTATATATAAATAAATATATAATATTATTG